GTAGGAAAGCAGCAAATTTCGGGAGGGTTTGAGATTGAGGAAACGGGAGAGTAAGACAATAAACTTAATTTAGGACTTCCTGAGTTTGAAGTTCGTGATAGTGTCATAAACAGGGCATATCTGTCATTCAAAAGCGGTGGCGGCTGGAGATGAGGGATCTGAGAATACTGAGTAGGCAGTAAAGTGATGGGGAAGAATCAGATTCCCAGGATACTGAGTAAAATGAGACTAGAAGGAATAGAATAGAAGGCAGAGTGGACAGGGTATGGATTTACTTTACAAAGGTTTACAGCAAACAAGCAAATGCTGAAGCAGAAAAAGGCCACTGCGAGAAGATCCATTCCACAACGAGGTAGAGACATTCATGACATTTTAACTTACCCTCGCGCCACTCCCCTCGTCCGCTCTCATGCCTAGCGGGGATACCTGGTTCCGGAAGGAGCACAGCAGACTTTGTCCCAAGAAATCATGTTTGTTTGTTTCGTCCTGTTTGGGGGCTCCCCGAAGGACCGATACAGGGGCTTGCCTTTGTTTTCCTAATTCAGAACTCCGTCAGGGCAGAAAAGCAGCTACGTGGAGGGTATGCCTCAAAGACACCGAAAAGCAAAGAAAGCTCCGCTTGGCTGAGGCAGGAGGATTGCTTGAGCCCTGGAGTTTGAGTCTCGCCTGGGCAACATAGCAGAGACCCCATCCCTTTATAGAAAGAATTGAAAGGCAAATGAACAAGCTGCTGCTGCCTGCGGCAAAACAAACAAACACCTCCGAAACAAAACAAAGCAATAGGGACAAAAATTAGACAAGATGACAGCTTAGGAGGAAAATCCAGGAGTGAGATATTTGGGAGAATAAGGCCTTTGACGAGCTCCCACCTGTACTGGGGCATCTAGAAAGCTGTGGGCATGCCAAGAGCAGGAAACATGCTGAGAAAAGACCTGAGAAGGACCTAAGCTTTCACCTCTGGTTGGTTTTATGTTTAGTGCAAACAGTAAGTGACAGCTTGAGCAGAGTTATAAATGACCTGGCTAAGCATAGAATGAATGCCCCAATACAGATCCACTCTGCAAAAATCTGGTGAATATATTTTTTGTTTTTTCTCTATTTTTTTCTTTTCTTTTTTTCCCACAAACATTTAAGAAAACCATCTCAAACCATTAGCTGAGCACTAAACTAAAGCACTTCAGGCACAACAGATGAAAAAAAAATACAGTCTTTAAAAAGATAGTTTTAAAAAGTCACTAAACACTGGGAAGCTAAGGCGGAAGGATCACTTGAAGTCAGGAGTTTGAGACCAGCCTGAGCAAGAGTGAGACCTCTGTCTCTACTAAGAATAGAAAAAATTAGCCGGGCATGGTGGCACACACCTGTAGTCCCAGTTACTCCGGAGGCTGAGGCAGAAGGATTGCTTGACCCCAGGAGTTTGAGGTTGCTGTGAGCTAGGCTGACGCCACGGCACTCTACCCAGGGTGACAAAGTGAGACTCTGTCTCAAAAAAAAAAAAGTCACTAAACAAACAACTACAACCCACTGCAAGTAACAACAAGACATCCTGGGGAGGAAAGATAATCTGATTTCCAGAGTTACCACATCACAATGTCCAATTTTCAACAAAAAATTATAAGGCATGCAAAGAACATGAAAATATGGCTGATTCACAGGAAAAAAGAAATAAACAGAAACTGTCAATGAGGAAGTGCAGAGGAATTACTAGACGAATACTTTAAATGAACTGTCTTAAGTATGCACAAAGAGTTAAAGGAAACCATAGACAAAAAATTAAAAGAAACCAGGAGAACAATGTCTCAACAAATTGAAAATATGAATAAAGAGATAGAAATTATAAAAAGGAACCAAATAAAATTTTTGCAGTTGAAAAGTATAATAACTCAAATGAAAATTTTCACAAGAGGGGCTCAGCAGTAGATTCGAGCAGGCAAAAAAGAATGAGCAAACGTGAAGACAGGGTAATTGAAATCATCGAGTCTGATACACAGAAAGAAAAAAGAATGAAGAAAAATGAACAAAGCCCAAGAAACCTGTGAGACACCATCAAGCATGCCGATATATGCATAAATGGGAGTCCCAGAAAGAAATGAGAGGGTAAAAGGGGAAGGAACAGTATCTGAAGAAATAATGGCCGAAGAGTCCCAAATCTGATAAAAGATGAAAAGCAACACATCCAAAAAGCTCCATGAACTCAAAGTATGATAAACTCAAAGAGATCCACGCTGAGACACGGTATTATCAAACTGTCAGGAGACAAAGACAAAGAGAATCGTGAAAGCAGCAAGAGAGAAGTGATCATTACTTATAAGGGATCCTCCACAAGATTAACAGCCAATTTTTCAGCAGAAACCATAGAGGCCAAAAGCCAGTGGGATTATATGTTTAAGATGCTGAAAGAAAAAAAGAAACTGGCAACCAAGAATTCTATATCCATCAGTACTATCCTCCCAAAATGATGGAGAAATTAAGACATTCCCAAATAAACAACAGCTGAGGGAGTTTGTTGCCAGTAGACCTGTCCTATAGGAAACACTAAAGGGAATCTTTTACCCTGAAATAAAAGGACATCAGATACAGATTGAATATCCCATCTCCAAAATGCTTGGAAACTAAAAGTGTTTCGTATTTTGAATTTTTTTTGCATTTTTAATTTTGGATATTGGCATTATACTTACCAGTTGAGCATCCCAAATCCAAATATCTAAATCCAAAAAGCTCTAATGAGCATTTCCTTTGAGCATCATGTTGGTGCTTAAAAAATTTCTGATTTTGGAGCATTTTGGATTTGGGATTTTCAGATTTGGGATGCTCAGCCTGTAGTAACTGGAAGCCAAATGAAGAAATAAAGAATACTGGGAAAGGTAATACATAGGTAAACATAAAAGCCAATAGTGCTGATTGCAATAGTGTGTGCCTGTAATCCCAGCGCTTTGGGAGGCTGAGAGGGTACAGTGAGCTATGATCGTGCTACTGCACTCCAGCCTGGGTAACAGAGAGACCCTATCTCTAAAATCAAACAAAAAAAGAATCCAATAGTATTGTATTTTTGGTTTGTAATTGCTTTTTTTCCTATA